GCAAAAGCAACGCTAGGAAGGCTCCCGATATCTCCGCGAAGCGATCGAAGGAGAAGGCGAACAACAGCATCGCAGCCAGCAGCCAGCGGCGGAAGAGCACCGGCAGCGTCAAGGGCGGTAAGGACAAGAGCACGCCCCGGTCATCGAGGCGTGCGAGTGGCAGCAGCGTGACGGACGCGGCGAACACCAGCCGCACGCCTCGAGAGAAAGGGCGGAGGTCGACTCCGGCCTCCTGTTGAGTTGAGCTCCATCCGAAGCTCTTAGGTACCCCAAGTCTTGAAGGGCGACCGGTTGTCTTGCAGCAGGCGAAGGACAGTATACCGGTGATTGCACACGAAAAATTACGGGAGCAGTGAATCCGAGGCGGGAAGGGGCAGGGGGGCGGTTGTGGGCACACGAGGAGCAAGGTCTGCCCTTGATGAGGCCTCGGACCGCCTCCGTCGGGGATTAATCGTGCGTCTTGGTGTGAAACTGAGTCGCAGGGCAGAAGCACCACTTTTGGTTCTGTTTAGAACGTGTCAAAAGAGGACCTACGGACATCGAAAGCAAAATAAAAGACGAGAGCGAGCAATGCCATGATTGCTTGGGAGCTTTCACCGTGAGCCACACCATAACAAGCCGTGCGTGTTCAGTCCCCTGTCTTTCCTTTCAGCACTGCCGAACAGGCTCCAATCGTATTTCAACTACCACTCCTATCTTTCAACCGCTGCGGCGCTGCAGTCACAACACGTCATGATCCGCCCTGCCTCCCCACCGCCCCTGTCCTCCCTTCCCGATCCCTCATTTCCCGGGCAAAGGCACGTACTTCCTGAAATTTTCCAGGAGCCTGGCCGGGTTTCCAATCACGGGGAAGAAGTGGATTTGTCCCTCTGGCTTGGTCTGCGTCTCTTTGAAATAGACCAGGACAGGCACTTGCTCGGAGGGGTAGAACTGCCGGGAAGTGACGGGGCAGAAGGCGGGGGAGAGCGGGAGACCCGAGGTGCAAATATAGTTGAAGTAGAGGTGGGGGAGAATGAAGCAAGCAGAAATTCCAATATTTAGACAAACATCCACGCGACATTTTACGCGCACGGTCGCAAAGAAAAAATGAACGATTGATTCTTACCTCCCAGTTCGTGAAACTCGCGTAAGTCCAGCGATTGCGCCCCCCCACGGCAAAATTTTCCCGCTCCATCGACAGAGACTGACCGTCAGCGCCAACAGTCATGACTTCCATTGCTTCCTCATCGAAAACAAAACGTACTTTTTGGGTGCGGCTTGCTAAGAAAGCGCCTATTAAGGCCAACGGCAAACCCGCGCCAGGATTTGACAGAGGGGGAAGCGCCAAGCCAACCCCACCGAGGAAAAATCCGGCAGCCACACGATAATCAGGCGCAATAACCTCTGGTTCTACTGCTACACGGGTAGTTTTTTGTTTTTTCCCACCCCAACTGTTGAGCGCAGTGACGGGCAGACGGGCCGGAACACCTCGGGAGCGAGTGATAATGCTGCTTATGTGGAAAAATCAAGCGATCATCATTGATCATGAGGTAATACAAGTTAGCAAATTTAAGATTATTGGGAAAATTAACAAAGTTGAGTGTTTTTATGGGTATAAGGACGAGTCCAACGCACCTGAAAGGCTTAGACAAAGAGGGCGTCGGCATGAGGAACCCGGCAGCCAGAGCGGGCAAAAGGATGAAAAATGCTGTGCGAAGAGCGAGCATGGTACCACCTGAGGATACATAGGCATCATGAGTTTTTCCTGGAAGAAGCACGGTGTGATAATTGGATGTAGGGCCTCAAGGGGCATAATAGGTAACGTGTATGAGTCCGCACTTGACCACGTCTCTGTTTAAGGCCTAGCTCGTAGAAGAAAGCAAATGAGCGGCTCGGAACGGCCTCCCTCCCCCCCCAATATAACCATGAAAGAAAAGCTTATTAAAGGCCTAAGACGCTTCAAATCAAGTAACCAATGTGCCTTTCGATGCTTTGGATGGCCTTGGCGTTTTCGGTGGTGCTACATTATCACGTTCCTGCCCCTTCTTTTGGGTGTTGCCAGCCATCCCGCTATACCCCTCTTTATTGCCTGCCTCCAGGCCCTTCTGTCCCTCGTCCCCCTCCCCCTCCACGCCCGCCTCTGTTATCTCCTCTTCCACCCCCTCCTCGATACTCACCCCTCCCTCCTCGCCCGCCGCGATCCCCCCGCCCGCCGCGGAAATCACGACCCCCCCCCCGACCGTAGCCTGTGCACACACCCAGCCGATGTGATGAGATGCGAGGGAAGGACGACAAATCATGAGACGCTATTCCTTGTCCAGATTCTTGCACCTTCCGTGCCATGTCTGTATCGTATCACGCCTCGTCCGCCCTCTTACCTCGTCCCCCGCGGCCTCCGCCCAAACGCCCCCGTCCCCGCCCGGCCCCTCCCCGCCCTGTGCCACGATCAGTGCGAAGCGTTCGAATTGTGTGAGAGTGATGGGGATAGCATGTCAAATGAACAATAAGATGGACGTGCAAAAGCATGCTAAAGCCACTCCCAGTCCGGGTATGCGCGAAGGAAGGAGTCGCGGTCCTCAAGGCCTTCGAGTCCAGCCTCCTACACGCCCGCTCTTCGAGAGCCCGGGACATACTTGCCAGTGACGGGCTTCCCGGGGCAAAAGATGAGAGACAAAGGGGGAAGACAAGGTATTGTACGTACGTTCCCGTTCCAGGTCCTCCTCGTTAACCATGTCGATCACCTCCTCCGGCACCCGCAGGTACTTGATGCTGTTTCCCCGGACGTAGCACTCCGGAATCTTCCAGAACCTGTCTCCATCCTGACGTGATGGAGCAGGAAGGAAAAGAAATGGGGCGCGAGAGGGTCAGATCAGGGGGGAAAGTCGCATGAGAGCTTATCGTCCCTTGTGCCTCTCTTCTCCCTCCTCCTTGCCCCCTCCCTCCCATCGTCTCCCGCTCTCCTCACCCTGGAAGTGCAGATGACATCCCTCAATGTGATGTTCATCCAAGTGTCGCACGAAACCAGTCGGCCATTGTACGTGTCCCCATTCTTCAGTTCCACGAGCATGGGGTGGCCTTGCGCCGTTTTTAGAAGCGACAAGGGGAGCTTTCGGAGATGGAGGGATGTAGCGGGCGTGATGAAATTGAAAGATTACAAAATGTGGCAGGCAAGGAGCAGATGCTGGATATGTGCACGTACCATGACTTTTTTAAGTTTTCGACAGACGCTGTCGAAAATCGATGGGTGCGATAAGCTGGCACGAGCTCCTGGCCCCCTTCAGTACCGTGACGAGAGGGGTGTGACAGTGAGGCGTCCGGCCGGCGCTCTTTGTTGCTGTCCCTGGGGGATAGAAGGATGAGGAAATGACCAAGTCAAATACCCACTTGCTCGCAGAGCAGTGCATGCGTGACGGCGATGGGGCCAAGCATACAAAGCGGCCTCTACCGTGCGTTTCCCTCGCCTCAAGCTTCGGCAGCCTCGCCCGCGGCTTTCCGGCGTATCATGAACATATGACGGGCCGTCGCATCCACACACCCTGGCATTTCCCTCCCCTGGCCCCTTCAACTGCAACATCGCACCGACTCACGCGCGTGTACGTCCTTTCGACCCCTTTTGATGCACCCACACGGCGCAGCACTGAGACAGGGATCAGGTGTCATGCCTGGCCATATGGGGGCGGAGTGTGGACTGATCATGCTGCTGGGGGTGCTATTGCTGCTGGCGGGTTGCGAAGCCTGGGTTGGCCCTGGTACCTTACCACACGGGAATCAGAGGCATCTTTCGACCACAACCATATCATTCACACCGATGGCACGCTGGAGGAGGCATTGGGGGCCTCACGTGCCAAATTCTGGACCGGAATGGGATGGTCTTTGTCCAGTTGTCCTGCGCGCTGCCAAGCGATGGGGTGGTATGCGTAAAAAAATTGAGAACGACGACGGCGATGAAAACAAACGTACTGCTCAGTCGAATTCAAAAGGAGCTAAACCATTTGTTCCTAAGGCGGGGAAAAAGGCGGCGGAGTCAGAAGAGGAGGAGGATGTTGATCCATTGGCCATTAGCGACGCGATGATCGAGGAAGTCACAGGCCGGGTGCATGGAAGAAAGTTGTCGCGCTCCGAGGCTTCAGGGAAAGCGGCGTCGGACCGAAGGTTTAAGAATGAGGAGGGCGAAGGCGAAGGGCGGGGCACTGAGTCGGGAGGGGTGGTAAGGGAGCCCCCCGCCTGGTCCATGCGCTGGCTGGAAACCCTCTCGGAGGAGGAGATGCTGGCCTTGGACAAGAAGAGACTGATGGACTTGCTCTTGAAGGACATTGAGAGCGATAAAGAGTGGGCTGGAGTCCCTGTCCAGGCCCTTTTTGATCCTGACGAGGAGGTGGACCCCAAGACGGACTTCTACGACGAAGGCATGACCGAGGAAATTTTCGGAAAGATGCCTGAGGGAGAGGACGAGGACGAGGAAGCGATGGATTTGGACGATATTTTGGGGCCGCTAGGAGACGGAGGGGAGGAGGGGGAGGAGGGGGAAGGAGAGGAGGATTTGCTCCGTTTCCTCAGCGGGTCTCAAGAAGGGAGGAGGTTAGCCCGAGATCTTTTAAACGACGACACGGTCAGGGATGATGAGGAGGACGAGGACGTGTTTGACGTGGGCGGGCACCTACGGGCCGAGGAGATGAGCTCGGAGGAGGTGGAAGATGGTATAAGGCACCTGTGGCGGAACTTGAAGAAGGGCCATGGGGAAGACACGGGGGGCGGGGAGGAGGGCGAGGAGGCGGCCGAGAAGGAAGGAAGACTGCGGGACGAGTTGGAAGACCCGGCCGCCGTCCTAACGGCCCTGAAAGCGAGCGTGGAAGGCGGGGATCTGGCGGCTGCCTCGGAGTTGCTTCAGCGAATGGAGGAGATGGGTCTGGAGGTGGGGGACCTGGAGGAGGAGGTCGAGGCGCTTGACAGCTACCGGGCGCCTTTGGGGAACAAAAGAGCCGTGGCGCAGGTGCCGCTCGTGGAGGAGGTGGAGGAGGAGGGGGGAGGGTTGCAGGTGCCTCTGTCGGTGGGACGTTTGAGCGAGGAGGAGGTGGCGGTGATGAAGTCGGTAGGGGCGTGTGTGGGCATCGACCTGGGGACGACGAACTCGGCCCTCTCCCTTGTCAAAGACGGGAAGGCCTTGATCTTGCCGTCCAGAACCACGGGGGCCGCGCTCACCCCCTCGGTGGTCCGGTTCCGGGGCAAGGAGGTGGTGGTGGGGGAGGCCGCGCGGGCCGTGGCTGTGGCGGACTCGGACAACACGTTCTCGTCGGTGAAGCGGCTCATGGGCCGGGGCCTGGAGGAGATGCTGCAGGAGAAGGAGATCTTGGGGTCGCTGAACCTGGTGCGACGGACGGTGGAGGATGCCGGCGGGGAGGACGAGGGGGGCGTCCGGGCCTGTGTGGCCATGCGCTGTCCGGCCCTGGGTAGGGAGGTGACCCCCGAGGAGGTGTCGGCCGAGATTTTGAAGACCCTCCTTGGGGACGCGGCTGCATACTTGGAACAGCCCGTGAACAGGGCGGTCATCACCGTGCCCGCATACTTCACACCGGCTCAATGCGCGGCCACGGAGCGTGCGGGGGCATTGGCGGGCTTGCAACGGATCAAATTGTTGCGGGAACCCGAGGCGGCCGCCCTGGCCTACGGGCTGGACCGCATGTTGGGGGAGGACGAACTGATCATGGTGTTTGACCTGGGGGGGGGCACCTTCGATGTGAGCGTCTTGGAAGTGGGGGACGGGGTGGTGGAGGTCCTCAGCACCTTTGGGGACGCGACCTTGGGCGGGAACGACTTCGATAAGCGCGTCGCGGACTGGCTGGTGGGGGAGTATAGGAAGCAGCACGGGGGCCAAGGCCCGCCCTCGGACAGGACGAGTCAGAGGAAGCTTATGGAGGCGGCTGAAGGCGCGAGGGTGCGCTTGTCACAGGCCTCGGAAACCGAGGTTCGAATCCCGGCGCTGGGGGGCGAAGGGAAGGATTTGGGCCCGTTGACGCTGACGAGGGCGGGAATGGAGAAGCTGTGCGGAGATCTGTACGATCGGCTGCTGGAGCCCATGCGTCAGGCGGCCTTGATGGCAGGGGCGACTCTTGGTGGGGAAGTGGTGCCGGATGCGCTGGGAGGGCAACTGGTGGATGCCCTTGGGGACGGGGGGGAGAAAGCAGCCATGGAGGTCTTGATGCGGGACCAGGAATTGGCAGCGGCGGACGCGGAGGGGATGGAATCGGAGAAAGAAAAACTGGCGGCGTTAATGCGGGAACGCGCCATGACCGGCCGCAAGGTGAGCAAAGCCCGGAGCACGTACAGTAAGAATTTAAACGCTGTACGGAAACGCAACCCGGGCCTGAAAATCCGTGAATTCCCACAAGGACGAAGTATTCAAGAGGTGGTGATGGTGGGCGGGGCGACCAGGATGCCATCGATCCGACGCCTGGTGGCAGCCGTCACTGGCATCACGCCGAGGACGACCGTCGACCCAGACGAAGCAGTCGCCCTGGGGGCGGGCATCCATGCCGGTGTCTTGGACGGGATCATTGAAGACATGGACATGCTGACGCCGATGCAGGCGGCGATCGCCAGAGGTCTTTTGGACTACGAGGCCCGGGCGGGACAAGCGGGGCCACGCTCGCAGAAGCAACGGAAGGGGTTCTAGGCAGGGAGGAGAGGCTGTGTTGATAACTAGATATATAAAGGGGATCCAACTGTCGAGGAAAAGTAAATCAAAGCCGTCTTACTCCTACTAGAGTTAATCATTGACTTTACTGTAGTGCTGCGGGTTATAGTTTGATGTCAGTTCACATTGTTCTCCTTTTCCCATGACTGTTCCCCTACGATTTCTGTTAAGAGAACGCGATTCATTCATCCCTGGAACCCCTCATTATTCTGTATCCCGTTGCAACTATTATACCGTGCGTACGACGTCTCTTGCATTTCTCCCTCACCATTCATCTTTCTCCTCCTCTTCTTTTATAAGACTCTGCGGATAAACCTCTACCTCCATGCCAGTGTCCTCACCGCGGTTCCCTCTCCCTTGGCCCTTGATCACTGCCGTTGCTCGCACATCCTGTAACATTTCCCTCACTTCCTGGAGCGTCTTCCTTTCGCTTCCCTCTTCCCCGATGCACTCCTTTACAAACATTAACCTCCGCAAAATTTCATATTTCCAAGGCTGCTCGCACACTTCTGTTGCCTTCGTTTCCTTCACTTCTTCCTCCTTTTCTGCCTCTTGCGCTTCCAACAGAGCCTTCACCCGCTCAGCGTCCATCAACACATCCTCCGGAAATCCAACGTGAGCAGCCAGGGCAATCCCATATCCGCATGTGATAGAAGAAGGACCCTCGGTTACTCGATGCTTGAATGCCAACTGTCGCATATCTTGCGCGAGGGAAGCTTCCAAGTGTACATGCCGTACGTTTCCGTACAAGGAAGACAGACCTTGGCCCCCAGGTCCGGAGAGGAGGAGGAGGCGGTAATGGGTCACAAAGAAGGAGAGCGCCGGGGAGGAGAGAAGAGCTTCGGCAATGCTGTAGGAGAGGGCGGAGCCGTCCATGGTACTGGTGCCGCGGCCAAGCTCATCCAAGATGACGAGGGAGTCGGGTGATAGGTTGTCGATAATGTAGGCGGCCCGCCGCATCTCGCTCATGAACGTGGACAAATTACTCTCCATATCATCCGCCGTAGAAAGAGAGGTAAAAATTCGGTCTCGAATCGGGATGCTTACCGCCTCAGCAGGCACGAAACACCCGATCTGGGCCAGCACCACGATCAGCGCGAGCGACTTGACAAAGACCGTTTTCCCGCTGCCGTTCACACCGCTGACGACCACCATATTCCCGAACCGCCCCGCAAAGGCGTCGTTGGGAACGAAGGTAGGCACATACTTGCATACGACAGGGTGTCGCCCTTGTTTAATTGCCAGAGCCCCGCTACCACAGCCGCTCCTGGTCTTTTCGTGCGCTTCCGGGAAGGGGTCCCCGCAAGCGCTTTCCCCTTGGCGGGCGGCAGTGATCTCGGGCCGGGTCCATGGGCCCGACTGGTCCGACATAACCAAATCTGCGAAGCCCACGATCATATCCAAAAGTGAGATCGCCTCCACGGCTTTGAACAAGGATTCGACGTGCTCCCGGACTTTCCCCAGCACATTGTCTCGGAGGACCGCACAAGTCAAGAGGATGCATTGATTAGCGCTTTCGTCCGCGGCCCGGCTTAAGGAGGTGAGTTCCTGCGTGGTGCACTGCAATGTCTTTTTCACCAAAGAACACTGAATAAAGACCGGAGGGAGGTCGGCCAGCGAAGAAGGAAGGGAAAGGTAATACCCGCGTGACGTGCTGTACAAGACACGTAGCTCGGGAAGTCCGTGGTCCTTGGCGTACGTGGACGCAAGAGCATAAATGTCCTCCACTGACTGGAGGAAAGTCTTCCGAGCTACGTCTAAGAGGCCACACAGACCAGCAGAAACCGCGAAGCATTCTTGTAACCGCCGGGTTTTGGCGCTTCGGTCGTGGATTGTGCTCTCAGAAATGTACTCCTGGACAAAGGCCACCATTTCTGCAAACATCGGAGGTGAGAGAGCGGCAATAATGGCACGGACCAAGGCCTCAGCACGAGGGGGTTCACTGTCCTCAACCTCAATTCCCTCGCCATTTGCGTCGTTATCGGGAGCCTCGGGTAATAGATGGGTCAGTTCCATTACCAGTGTGGGGGCGAGTTGGAGGAAGGTCTTGAGAAGGACGACTGTGTGGATCATTTTTTTGGCCATGTTAAGGTCCTCTTTGTTTTCAATCACCGCAATGCCAGCCAGCATTCGGTCAAGAGAGGTGAGGTTCGCCAAGGTTGTCTGCAGGGCCTCAATTGTCTCCGGGCCACCGCGAGAAATAAGCAGCTCGATCAAGTCCAGGCGGCCATCAATCGTTGTTTTATCAGTGAGGGGGGCCAGAAGATTTGCTTTCAATGCTTTCGCGCCCACGTCAGTTTTAGTCCTGTTCAAATACCCAAAAAGGCTCTCCCGCTGGCTTCCCGTTCGGGCGTTGCTTACCAATTCCAAGTCTCTGACGGAATGACGATCAATAACCAAGCGCTTTCCGAAGCCATACCCGAAGGACACCTTCAAACATCGAGGTGGAAAACGAACAGAGAATGTAGAGCCCATATATTTCAGCAAGCAATGCGCTGATGCGAGAAATATGTAGCTGTCAAACAGGTCTTGGTCTAATGAGTTCATACTGAGTTTCCTGAGAAGATCCGCCCCCCGATCCTGGTCGAAGTACCCTCGAGCGACAAAAACAGGCACATAATATCGCGATTCCATCTCAGGTGTACGAGAAAGCTGCTGGACTTTCCGTGCGAGGGGTTTCTTGCGGGAACCATCGTGAAGAAGGATTTCTCGGGGACGGAGTTCAAGTAAGAGATCAATTGTCTCGGCATAGGAATGAGAATCTTGACAAACGTACGTTTGAAGGATGTGTGTGCTCAGGGTTGACATTGTCGCGATCGCCACTTCTCGTCCACGGTTCTATTTGAAGCAATAATGTGAATGAATAATCCAGTGAATGCTTTCGCATGCTTAGTAGGAGGTTGGGCACACTTCCCCAGTACAGGCAAAGGGGCGCAAATTGAAATGAAAGGTCGCATTACCAAATTGGATTCTCACCTCGACAATGCAAGCAATCAAATCATCTTGTTCGTCTGCCATGGATAATGACTTATTTCCGACGGCAAATAGCCTGATATGTATTTGAGTTGGAGGAAGGGAGGATAATGGGCAGAGGTGCTCGTGGGATCTCTATTGGTAGGCAGGGCAAGGAAAAGATAAATCCTCCAAAAAATAGATATAGATATAGCTATATATATAAATGGAGATTAGAGCAAAGAGCCATGTTTACATCCACTATATGCGGGAAAAAAATGAAGGAGGAGGGTGAGGAGGTGGGAAGGGCGGCAGGAGGGGAGTGAAGGAGGGCAATCCGTTCCGTGCTCCCTCCCTCCGAACGCTCCCTGTGTTAGATGATCTGTGCACGTTGATACCGCGCCGTGGGCTTTCACCAATGTTCTGCGTATTCGAATCTTCGTACAGGTTTGGTGGTCGCCTCCTGCGAGGCGTTGGGCGTGCAGCATGATGCGCCAGCGCGTCATCTCTTCCACTCGCCGGTTTGCGCTTAAGCAGGCGGCTTCTTGCGGAACTACTCCCCATGCCAGCGTCAGTACCAGTAGGAGGCTTGCGCACATAGCGAGGCCTACTTTTTTTTTCTTAGTTGCAGCGATGGGAGTAGGCCAATGCTTAACATGGGCTTTTACGCGGGTAGGAAGAGCGCCTGCCTCATGAGCCGCAGAGGGTTTGCGGACCTGCCGGAAGTGAGCACAATCGTTATGCCCGCCCTCTCCCCCACCATGACGCATGGAACCATCAGTGAGTGGACCAAAAAGCCAGGAGATGTATGCGAGGCAGGAGATGTGCTGTGCGAGATCGAAACGGACAAGGCGGTGGTGGCCTTTGACGTCCAGGATGAATGCGTGTTGGCCAAGATTCTTGAAGAGGCCAAAGGCCGGGAGATTCAGGTGGGCATGCCCGTGGCTCTTTCTGTGGAGGATAAAGCTGCCTATGAGGCATTTGTGGAGGCAGATAAGGCCGGAAAGATCGCAACGCCCAGTGCGGAAGCATTACCTTCGCCCACGGCTTCCTCGACGTCTCCACCTGCTCCCCCCCTCCCGGCTTCCCCTCCTCCTTCCCCCCCACGCCCACCGCGCATCTCGGTGACTTTGCCCTCTCGCCTGCGGCACGCCACCTGCTGCACAGCCGGCAACTGACCCTGTCGGCGGAGGTGCATGGGACCGGGAAGGGGGGCAGGCTCACGAAGGGCGATGTGATACAGGCTATCGCCAACGGCCAAGTGACTGCCCAAGCGCCAAGGCAAGCA